GGACTAGAGTGGCGCTCGTGAATCCACACTCGGTACGCTCGAGATGCAGCTCTTGCACAGATACCAAAGCTCCAGCTCCAGTCAATACGCCGTCAGATGTAAAGAAAAACCAGGAATGAGAGAGTGAATTCAAGCAGCGCGTTTGGCCATGCTCGTGGCTGGCCGTGCAGCAGTGCGGCCGAGTACGGAGTCGGGTATCACTAAACTCCATCCCTTCGTGCAGTTTTGAGAGGAGTTTAGGAGGTTTTGGCAGCCGTGGACGCATTCATCTCACACATGGCAAGGACGTCAATGCGTCCAGCTCAAGAATGCTTATGGCATTTGGCCTGGAGCAGACGCTCAGCTTTCACTTTCCTGTCAGTGGTGTACTATTCCGTTGGGACACTTCCTGTGCTGGAAATGACAAGTCGTTCTCGGGGAATCCCGCTGTTATTCATAATTTGTTTCTCACGCCCCGACTCCTATCTGACTATCGTCATTGGAACAAGAATCTCACGTAGTTAAGTCGGCGCCTTCTGATTGTGTCCTAAAAAAATGCGAGTACCCACTTACAAACCTCCGCGTCTAAACGCACTGTTTCCACAGGCACGGTGCCTATTTGCCTTCCTCTTCCCCTCCCTGTTCCACCGCTGGTGTGCTCTCATTCGGTGCAAAGTTGGTAAAGGAAGTAAGAGAGAGGGAAGAAATGAAGCTGATATGAAATGAAGAGAACTGTTAACATTTGGATGGATCGCTAATTAGAATTGAGAGTATAAGAGACGTAAAGTGAAACTATGAAAAGATGAGAAGTCTAGTGACAAATTCCAACAGATCCAAAGTTAGCAAATCTACCACACGAACTACAAACGGGAAATGTATGCTCATGGAATGCTTGTGGGTAAGGGAACCGGAAGAAAATCAGCGGAAAAATAAAATTCATACGACACTGATTGGTTCCCGTTAGTCACGCCAAGCAACAGATTCCCGCTTATTTTCATAGGGATAATTAAAATACGTCTTCTCGAGTGAAGGGTAGATTTTGATGAATCTCACGAGAAGTGCGGTGAGAAAGTGCCATAGCAAATATCTTGAAAATTCTCGAGATATGGTAGGCCGTGGCTGCATACTTCAACGAAATGTGGCGGTGACTGTGCTTTCGATAGAGATATTTTCACAATTAAGGACTGTTCAACACAGAACAAGATGACAGTCGTCTCAAACTGAAATCCCACGAGCAACCCATTCTATGCCATGCCCGGCTACTCCATTTAGGGATAAGGAGTGTATGACCACTGCGAACTTCAAAGGGAGATTCGAGCGTCACAAGCACAGAGTGATGCCTGGAAAAGTCAGGCCAGCAAAAAAGCACAAAGCTGATTAGAAGCGAGGACGTGAGAAAGATGGGCGCTGTGGACGCACATAGATAATCTGATCATCCTAAAAAAAGGCTAGAGTACGCAGTTCTTTTTGTCTAGGTACACTTCGCAGTTGTGAAACTGGCGCACCCTGATCGCATTCCGAGTTTCCGCCCAAAGAGAAGAGCCAGATCAATCAGGAATGATTTTCACGATTGACGTGCAAAGAATACTGAGTTATTAGGTTGTCTGGAAAAGTCTCAGCGTTTTGTGTTACTATTTTTTGTACTTTCATTGCTGAAAAAAATTCATTCTCCCTCCCTTGTTTCAGTAGTACATCCTGAAGAAAATTTTTTGCGCTATCTGGTGCTGTAATTGCCGTTCCACCATTGCTTGATAAACCCCCTTTTTTCAAGATTTTTTCAAGCATGTGAAAAGAGCACTTCGGACAATTTTTTTCTTCGACTGTAAATTGGGTCAATCCGCAGTCGAGACAGCCCGACAAATTAACCAGGTGTGGGGACCCAATAGTGTTGGAGGAAACACCGTGCGACAATGTTTCGACAAACATTGTTCTGGAGATTTCAGCCTTGAAGATGAACATCGTAGCGGTCGACCTAAAGCAATAATTGACGAGGATTTGAAGGCGTTTATGGAGGCTGATCCATCTCAAACAGTTCGAGAGATTGCAGAAGAGTTAGGGATTGGCAAATCCGTTGTTGCACATGGTCTGAAACGCATTGGGAAGGTGAAACAACACGACAAGTGGGTGCCCCATAACTTGAGTGACGGCAGAAATTAGCACGTCCCGTGGTTTCTTCTTCACTCCTTTTGCCTGAGAGAGACGACCCCTTTCTGGACCGAGTTGTCACCTGTGATGAAAAGTGGATCAAGTACGATAACAGGAGACGTTCCGGACAGCGGTCGGATGCCGACAAACCACCGAGGCAATTTTCGAGGCCGAATCTTCGCAAAAAAAAGATTATGTTTACAGTTTGGTGCTCAACGACTGGTGTGATCCACCATACCTTTTTGTCACCAGGCAAAACCATCACAGGAAATCGACGAACTGTACTGAAAACTGCGTCAGCTGCAGCCAGCAACTTGTCAACAGAAAGGGTCCGATTCTCTTGCATGACAACGCCCGCTCGCACGTTTCACAAATCACTATCCATAAAATGAACGAATTGGGGGTTGAAGTTCTACCTCACCTGCCATATTCTCCGGACCTTTCACCAACCGACTATCACCTTTTACACATTTTCGGAGCTTCCTTGCTGGAAAATACTTCATCAATCAGGACCATGCAAAGAAAGCCTTCGTGGATTTCGTGGATTCTCGACCACCCTGTTTTTTCTTTGATGGGATTTATTGACAGGTTTCACATTGGCAGAAGTATGCTGATTTCAATGGTGCTTATTTCCATTGAATTCGATGAGTATTAAGAATGTAGCGATCGTTCAAAGTGAAACAGCAAAACGCTGAGAACTTTCCGGACAACCTAATAGAAGGGAGAAGACAACAGCTCAAGGAAGGGGAAAAGCAAGAATTAATAGTACCAGTAAAGGAAACTGAGTCGGCGCAGTATGCCGACGGGGGGGGGGGCGGGGGGGTGGGGGCTTTTCTACTATTGTATTATTGCTTCCTTAAAAGACGTCCCATATCCTTTCATCCTTTTCAATATCGCGGAGCCCTGGCGGCTATATCGCATTGAATATGCCATTGCGAGTCTGAGCATAAGTAGAATGCGTCAAAAAGGATTCACTGGATTCACTTCTACTTAGGTAGGCTAATAAGTAATGGCGGTTTTTTTCAATTGAAAAATTTGTTCGAAAAGTACTTCTCGTAGTATAAGAATATCAAAAAAGCTTTGGTTGAGGATATAGTTTTTGCGAATTTTTTAGTCGTTGAAGTTGGAAGTGAAGTCGGCGAAAATTAGCATCTTCGACAACTGCCTCTATTTACGTCTACTAGAAGTGCTTAAATCGCTTAAGCTGCTCCACACATTCCGAAAAGGTTGAGGTAGAAGTCTCAGCAAGGGAATCTCAATAGGACGCTTTGGAACTAATTTCAAGAATTTCAAAGTTGGCAACCTACACCTTGCCAATATTGGGCAGGCTCACGTCTGTTCCACCTGAAATTTCATGCTAATAGTTGAATTAGTTGGATATGAATTTGATATTCTAATACTACGAGAAATTTGCTTTTAAATGATATTAAGCTTGCTTGACAGAAGGTTGTAGGCATCCTCTTTCGGCCACATTAGTAGCGGGGAGAACTAACAAGACGGAAAGGGCAATCCACAATACTGTCTTGATTGTTAGCCTCGGAGGCGTTTGATGCCTTCATTGAGCGAGCTCAAAATAGCTGCGTTTCGGCCTTTTTTTAGCCTTCTATTGACGTACGATGTGTACTGCCGTCTTCGGATCGCATACATTGACGCACATGAACTTCTAGGAAGGATAGTAGGAGCTCACGCGATGCCAGCTCTGCAATGTGAATAAAACATTCTGTCGCTAGACAACATCGTTCATATGCATCACGTTACCCGCATTAGGCAGCGAATCATCTAGAAGATCGTTCAACTGAAAGTACCCCATACTCCCTCAGCCTTCAAATCCACAAGATACTCGCCATATAATGGTAGTAATTTGTACCCGAATTCTTGGAAACTTACTACCTTGCCTCAGTTTTCAAAGTTAGCGTCAGGCATAGATTTGTCTGGAATTTGATCTCCACTGGTAAACTGACTTTCTGAACATGAATATGACATCCGCACGGCTCGACTGACTAGCGCCTGCGCGACAAGCGACAGCACCACCACATGCTGGTTACGACTCCGGCAAGTGTAGCACGGACTCCCGGCAGTCTAGGGTCAAACCTTGTACTGAGCAGTGATACTAATTCCTTCCTCTGCTAAGGCTGAACCGTGGCACAGGGAAAGGGTAACAATCTCGGTTAAGTGTGCAGACATGGAGCAGGGCGCACTATCACTCGCACCCCCCCCCCGCGTGCGACGGTAGGACCACGCGGCTTCGCGTCGCCAATTGCAAATACGGCATGATTATGTGTGATCGGCGTATGCTCGCGATCATTCTGTTATTGCTACAGTGACATTTCGCTGTTATTTTTCCAATAGGACAGTCCGTCGCCGTCAACAATATGGCAGTAAGTACAGTTTCTGTAGGCATGCTGTTCAGAAAGCCCGGGACAGTCAAATGATCAGGGAATTAGCAGGTAAGCTAAACCCACTCGCGAGCAGACCTTGCGCAAGTTTCTCTGCGCTATAATTGGTGTGTTACGGTCATGACAACCCAGGTCCTATGGTTATTGGAGAGCGCGGCTGAAAACCTAGGCGATCACAATCTTCAACAGTATAATTGTCTATGCTAGCGACAAATTTTCCACTTTATGGCAGAACGGCGACACCTTGATCCAGAACTGCGAGGCCAAGAGTTGAAGAAGGGGGTTGGTCTCCCGACTAGTATTTAATAAGGCAATAGGTTTATCGCGAGCAATCTTCCACCACAGTATTCCATGTGAAAGCGAGCTAGCTAGAAAATCCCACTGGTGGATTTTTATCATCCTTCTCATGATATTAAGCAAGCATAATATGACTTAAAAGTAAAACAGCAATACCTAACTCGACAACGTGGACGTACAGCACTAACCTTCAATAATGTTCTCTTTCAGGAACACTCGTTGCTCTAATCGGAACTTGTCGATTTTCTCGCTGGACGTGAAATTGATTTCCCGTGATACGGTGCGGCATTTGAGTATGCTCTTTGGAACGTGGGCTGAATCGGTTATATTTGCAGTCAAGAGCTACTGTAATGATGACGACAATAACCAACCTTCGTGCTCGTGGTGAGGGTCAGCCATGTCTTCAGTGCTCTGCCACAATATCCGCCCACTCTCTGCATCTCGCAAATTCATCCAGTTCCTGAACTTTTAGTCTCGAGATTATTACCTTGAAGGCAGTTGGCACACTATATCGCCAAGACGAGTAGGACTGAAACGCATGGCAGGATCTAAATCCACGCGCCTGAGCAGGCGCTGCGTTACAGCTTTTCCAGAGATGGGACCCTTATAAAGCCCCATCAAGTTAACCGTACCGGACGCCCACCGTGCCCGCCCGCCTACAAATGGATGACCGTGCTTGGTGCTCGTATTGCTTCATTTGCGAAGTAAAATATGAAGCGAAGGCATTCATATGAAACGGCTGCGGTGCTGCATGGATATATGAGTACATACCTGTATCTCACGGCGGTTATTGGCACGATGCCAACGGGAATTTCGTCCGAATTTGCTTTCTGAGCCGTATGGAACAAGGGACAGGTAACAGTTATTGGTTTGTAACAGTTATTGACTGGTTCACTTCGTTCTTTCGCCATTTTCCCACCATATAGTACCCGGCTAGCTTTTCAGACCGAGTACCAAATTATCGTCCCATATGCATTCAAACTACCTAACTTGTCGTTAATCTATGAAGCCAGCCAATGAAAGGTGCCTCGCATGTGCAATTGGCTCGCATTAGTGTTACAAAAGACTAGGGACAGTCCGTTTCGATATTTTTATTCTTCTGAGTGTTCTGTGTTAGTAATGATGACACTACATACCTAGCATAAACTACGTTATATATTACACATATACAGGCCATAATATCCCAAACATAGTCCAGGTATCGCGGAGCGTGGAAAACGTAACAAAAGGAGCAGCTCGAAATAACGCCCTAAATTCTGCAGCAGATTTGGAGCGTAATCACGGTGAAGAAACAGTGTCCGCTTGGACGAAGGTGATTCAATATGCTACAAGTCTTTGGGGTGTGGCTGCGTTCTGCATTTGGAGGTGTTAGCAGCTGCGCATTTGATGGGATATTTCCACTCACAATTTGAAGCCATTGAGAATATGATCGGCCTTCTCGTTCAACACGTCCCGTGGATCTCGTGCGGCAGATGCGAGCATTTCTAAATTAACATTTTACTGGTGGTTGCACGAGTATGATGAAAATCCTGACATTTATTAGAGTTTATATCATATCAGTGTCAGCTGGCACGAGCAAAACTTACATAAAGCATTTAAATAGAGGGTGACACATTTCCCCTAATCAACATAGCGAATCAAAGAGGCATAAGAAGAAACCTGAGCAGTGATGCGGGAAGCATTTGTGATTCAGGTGCCGCCTCGATCAACGTCTGCCAGGTGTTCGTCGAGTCAGGAATAACGAAGCCAAATTCGAAAAACCATTCTAAAATCATACCCATTAAAAATGCGGAACATAGGTGACGATTTCAAGATGTGAAAAGTAATTTGATCTTATGTTGATTGGTTTCGGTAACAGGATTCCTGAGGTTAGTATCCGACTTCCAAGGAAACACGGCAGCTTTCATTCGCAGTTGTGAAAAAGTCAGTAAAAAAATTGGAAATCCGAAACTCGTCTCCCTTGCTGTCAACAGATCTACAAAGGTATATTGTTTCGATAGAATAAAATCGATCCAAAGGGGAAGAATCCCTGATACTCTCGAACTTTTCTGCAATGTTCCTGTTGCGAAACCCTGTCGCGCAGACAGCCACAAAACAGTGGTTGCCGAACATTGGAAGGTGCAAAACATTGCAACCTCAGAGGTAAAATTTTCCAAAAGAAGGAGGCCTCGGTCTAAAAGGTGTGTGATCAGAACGCTATGGGAATGCCACCCAGACGAGAAATGGAGGGAAAAACAGATAAATCATACTATGAACTTGATACAGACACGCGTCCACGACTACTATGAGTGAAGATAGTGGAAACCGCAATGAAACAATCCTGTGCAAGTTTTTCGTCAGTAAGGTAGCGGCGGTAAGGCACAAGGTGGTACAAAAAACTTCGCCAAAAAATCAGTGACTCCGCTTACTCGATAGATATCTTATTCAATGCCTTGCTCGGTTGCGTGCTCTCTCGCCGGCACATTTCTGCCTTTCGCCATGTCGTTTTGTCTTCGCTTATGAAAGAGAAAGTTTGATTTCTAGTTACTTCGACTGTTGCCCCCGCTTTTTTCATTGGCGAACGAATCAGCTGGCGCGTGCACTTATATTTTCAACCCCGATACCCGGACCTTCTCTCTGGCCCACGCAAAATCTGCCTTTAGCTCAACTTGTCTTTAGACCTTGGAATGGATGGAGTTTCTGGCCGAGCCCCCTGCGTATTTCTCACGTGTGTTCCGGTCTCCAAACTGTCAACATCTAGCGCCATCAGTTCGCGCCTGCGTACTTGCGTTGCTTATACGAGAGAGGAATCCCCGAACCTTTTTCGTGGTGGGATGTGTCTTTGGAAGACAACCTTTTCAGTCCGAGGCCCCCCCCCCCAAAAGACGCGGTAGCGTTGTCACCCATTCGCGAAGAAAGCGAGACACCGCCTACAGCCCCGTTCGACACCTAACGTTCTCTCTTCAGGGCTTGCAGACTAACTCTTTCCATTCCGCGCAGAGAGAAATAAGTGATAAGAGAAAAGAATTTGAACCACAACTCCATAACTTTCTCTCAGCTCTCTTTTTCCATCTCGATCCTATGATCATTTCATTTATCGCTCAGTGGTTCTTCTTTATCCGGATGTTTTTTTAAGAATGATTATCATTCCATTTACATATACACCAGCTTTTTTTCAGAATAAGTTTTACTTAGCGATCTCTCATTTCCTCTCTGACAGAATAACAGAAGCTTCTTGTTATGTTTATTGTTCCTATACAATTAGCACAATCGAATTAAATCTGCTGAAGACGTTAGGACCGAACTGTTGTATGAGACTGAGATATTGTTGAGATCTCGAAACTGAAGACAGCAGTGAAACACATCATATCACCATATTAGTCATGGACATTCTGAACGGACTGAACAATGATATGTTTTGAAATGCATCATCTCATGGACAGAATTGCTTAACGCCAAAAACTGACGAAATATTCTGTGTTATTCGTAGAAAAGTCGAACTTTGGATGTGCTCACGAGCAGATCGTCATCGAAGAATAGCGTCTCCACAACCACATTTCCGCTGAAAGTTTGGTATTTTCTTCGGGCAAGTCAACAACTTGCGGACATGTACTACTTCAGCAAAGAGCGGTTTGTAACTATTAGCTATTTAGCTTTGATAGCAAAGTATCTTTTCAGAGGCAGGTGGCGATAAATCTCCAGGACGTGTAGGATTGATACTTGGCAGGACAGATTTCGGCGCAAAGGCGCTGCGCCTTTTTTTAAAAGGGACCCTCATAGCGCCATATCAAGCTGCAAATACCGACCCGGACGCACACCGCGTCCGCTCGCCCACAAATGCCCATCCTAAGCTAATGCTCTTATCGCTTCATTTGCGAAGTAAAATATGAAGCGAAGGGATTTGTATGAAGCGGCTGCGGTGCATGGATATATGAGTACTGCATGCAGCCCTATCTACCATAGCGGTTAGTAGCACGATGCTTATGGGGAACTCGTCCGAAATTGCTTTTCAGGTCGTTCAGAACAGAGGCTTTTTGGCAGGTTTTTGACCAATACGTTTCGCTTTTTCGTTTTCCCCACTATGCTGCACCCCCGCTACCACTTCAGACCGAGTTCCAAATCATCTGCCCTATGCCTATAAGCGACATCACTGCAATGAGATAGCAATGGCGTCGGCATGTCATCAGTATGATAGTATTGCTTCATACGAATGTCGCTGTTACCATACGACCCAACTTCCGACGACCCAAAGTTTCACTGAAGCGCTTGCGGCAAAAATGATACACTGTAAAAAGTGAGTGGTGACCATGCGCAGGGGCCATTGTGTCAAGAGGGCAAGTAGATGCTTCGCGATAGACTTGATTTACTTAAAAATAAAAACGCTTCTGCGTCTCCTAATGGACTTTGAATTCGCGGCGCATCCCAAAAAGGATGGGTTTTTGTGTTATTTTTTTGCGTTGCCAGTTATGGATCTACTCAAGCATATGTGATGTCGAGATGGTGTGTTTTCAGGAGGTTGCAATCTGAGCCGGGCAAGGCCAGTCACACAAATGCTGGTACTAATATACAGGACCGGATATAAGTTTAATCCTATCCTTTAATGCACGAGGACACTGTCTAAATGCTCACTGTTGATTAGAATGCTGCGAAAATCAGAAATTATGATTTTGTGGATGAGTCATGGATCAATAATGCGCGTATCTGACCAATCATAGAGATTACGTTTTTCAGAGTTCAACTATCTGTTCCAATATTTCCTCGGTATATCGCATATTGCTGTGGATCGAACATGTGAGTTATTGTTAATTGGAAGTAAACATGGTGAATAAATGGTTTTTATATAAACGTAAATATGTAAGTGTCCGCTGATTATACAAAGTGTAAGTTAGGTTTTCATGTCTAACTGTATGCAACAAGCACTAAAAATCATTGAATTGTGGTATCTTACTAAACAGCATCTTTATACTAGTCTTGATTGAACTGTTATAGTCATAGTTTATTGGACTGTTATAGTCATAGTTTTTATGTAAGCACGTTTTTTACCTCCTTAATGTGTAATAGTTACGTTATAAGATTAGTATATTTTTGAAGGTAACTAAAACTAGCAAGATGGTAACAGATGCCGATTTCGGCGAATGACAAAACGTTGTAGCGTTGCCGTTGGAGAGTACCCTCGATTGACCAGAACAGTTTGAATCGAACGGCTTTTAGTTGGGCGAGTGGGGCGACTGAATCCAGGTCCCAGTATTGTTTGTGTCCCAGCGCTGCCCCTACGATACAACTACTAGGGGTCTGGCACTGTGACGAGCAACAGTGGCCTCCTTGTAGTTGTGTGGTATCATTCATTTGTCGATCCGATTGCCGAGGACCAGGCAATATACAGGGGAGGGGAAGTTTTCGTCCGAAGCACCTACTAGTAAAGAATACGGAGCTCAGAGAGAAAGCATGGGCACGAGTGCCACGCCAGAACATAGTCAAGATGTGCCTTGATGAGCAGAAGCGAGCACTCGTATATCACCTTTACGCACCAAAATATGAGGCCATCCGCCACCGCAGATGAGCTGGAGAAGGCGTACGGAATTCGGGTCACCTCCAAACAGCTGGTAAACTTCCTGTATCGAATCAAACATGGGCATCTACCTGGAGAAAACATGGGCAGATACCTGGCACCATGGATCTGGAAGACCTCAGACATCGAGCCCCGACAACGTCACAATGGTCCGGGACATAATCTGCCAGGAGCCGACCATGACAGTGGCGATGCTCGTCGACCACACCACCATCCCTCGAACGTCTGTCCGCCGGATTTGGAGAACCGAGGCTTCAAATCGGTTTCCAAGGTTGGTTCTTGAAATTCAACTACCCGTCTAATCACCCCTATTTAGGTATGGTACACAGCCTGAACGATGTCCAGCGAAAGCAACGCCTGGAACGCTGCCGGAACCTACTGCAGAAGCTGACGGAGGAATTCGTGAGGGGGATCGTGTTCAGCGACGAAAAACTCGTCATGGTTTCTCCTGCACGGAACAGCAAGAGCACTCGCCTGTGGACCACCTCCAAGAAGAAGGAGCTCCGTCCCGGCGCACTGCAGTCACCAAGATCGAACAACCGGCGCGGGCTGATGGTATGGGCAGGGGTTTCCTGGAGTGGCAAGACCGACATCGTCTTCGTATTCGTAGAACCTGGACTGAACGCTAACTGCTACATCAAGCAGCCCGAGGAGGATATTCTCCCTTCAGGCCGTCGCCTGTACCATTGCAGAAACTTCGTATTGCAACAGGATTGGGCGCCAGCACATGGCGCTCGATGAACTCTCGCCTACTTGGAAGCGAAGGGAGTTGAGTACCTAAAGAAGACGGAATATCCAAGTGTGTCCCCTGACCTCAACCCCCTTGATTACCGGATTTGGGCGGAGCTCAACAGGGTGGTCTACAGTGGCGGAGAAATCAAGGACCTCGCTGAACTCAGGCACCGCATCACAGGCGCATGGCAAAATCCCTTGA